ACATAATGCACGGAGAATCAATACTAGCTAGGGACTCTGCAAGAGGGAAAAGTCATCGCTGGGGTATCAAGAATGAAGAGCTGGCTGGACGCAAATGAATGAACATGTTTGCAGTTGGGCTGGGCTGTAGTTAAGTGAACCACTTTCAGATATATGTCAAGAGAAAAATGTAGCGGTTGCTGCAGAAAGTGGTAATGCAAAATTTTACTAAAATACAGTAGCTAAGCAATACGGTAGAGAGAAGAGAGGGGAAAATAAATAATACAGACGTTTCGTTTATTTTTTACAAAAGATATTTGCATAGACTTTGTTCTTTCAATATGGTTGGCGCAACAATGAAATAATCGTCAGGGAAAAATCGAAGGAAAAAATGTGTTAGCTATCGTTTTTTCTTGATACTGTTTTATCCCCCACCCCTCCCCCGTGAAAATTATTTAAATAATGTCATTAGTGACCGCGTGTTTTGACCTGGATTAGGTCTAGTTTATAGTAGAAACAATATGAATCATTCTCATCGTGTTAAATGCAACCGCCGCTTATCACATATTGATTTAATTCTGTGTCAGAGGACGCGGATGAAGCAGACTGTCTGAAGACTACATATGAACTAATGGCGATGGCAGACACAATATCAGATTAGACAACCACAATGGGACCCCGAAATCCACATGATAATATAAAAAGTTGGTGTTTTCTTCATGTGTTCCAATAGTTTGTCTTCTGCATATACAACTGAATTTTCTTTTTAATTCAAACTCTCCATTATTACAAAATAATGTGAAACGGCTGTTTAGATATATACATTTTCAGCTATCAGTACTGTGTTATCTACAGTTCTACATCTGATAGATTATTTACACTATAGCTGCCAACTCTGAAAACTAATAACCGTTAGATTTCCCTGGCTGGCTTTTTAGATACCTCACAAAGAAACAGAAAGCTGTATTGTACAGAACTTCATTCACTGGCTGTTGTACCGCTAGCTCCTATAGGGATCATTGTCCGTCATGCATGGTGGCGTTCAAGAAGCTACGTCATTGTTCACTCGGGGACCTAGGCTGACGTATTCCTGTTTGTGGTGTTATTTCCCACAAGAAGAATGCCAACGATTCCATTTTTTTTAAAGGTGCATACCCTTTACCGACCGTATTAAGTGAACTCCAACAATTGTTGGCTGTTTTATGATTTCACCAGCCATTTTTACGTTCAGTAGTCAATACACTGCCCCTGCTTATTCAATGGTCGCCGCTCCAGCAGCAATGTAGTAAAGTGGTCTGCTGCCTAATTATAGCCAGCTACACTGGCCATCTCCCAGAGAGGTTAAGAAATCCGCAATCGAAGCCAGGGTTTCCCAAACCTTTCTTAGTCGCGGTGCCTTTTATCAATTACAATTTTTCAACAGCACCCTAACCTAAGTAAAAGTATGACTATTGGTATGTATAAGATTTTTTTTAAAATAAAACTCGTTTATTTTCGAATACTTTGCGGCGCCCCTGTGAAAAGGTCGGGCTCCCCGGGACGCCGTGCACCGTTTGGGAATCACTGATCTAAGCACAATCACAAAAACAGATGATAACCTACATAGGGCAACGTTTTCCGCTTCACGGGCGGATCTGTGTAAAATTATAAGATAGGGATCAGAGGGAGTACTTTAGACGGCGATCAACAGAAGAGAATCTTAGATAGGCTGACAGAGTAGCCCGGAAGGACATACCGGTGTTTGAACTCATCAAGAATACAGAGGAAAGATGGTTATGGAGGCTTATGGTTGCCTGTATCTTAGGACAAGTCCAACGATGATGGAGGAATTCATTCCTATTTTACTTCTTTTACTTCTTCTTCTTCTTGACGTTCACCAACTGTAAACTCCCCAGAAAGTCTTGGTTGTTCGTCCATTTCCGGACTTTAGTCTTGCTCCAGAACCTGATTTTGCATCCACATCTGCTTTACAGATCTGGTTTATTAGCATGCAGACTGTTGGTTTGTTCTTTGCCTCTCAGATGAACTCCTACTTCGAAGGAAGATCCCAATAAGTCGACTCCTACAACATGCTTGATGTTGGTATAATCTTGTTCTCCCTACAACGGAACCCTAGAACCCACACTGGGGTTTTATTTATCACACATTACGGGGGTGTTTAAAAGAAAATTATTATTTTAATATAACAGCATAATTTCATCAAAACTCCAGTCTCACAAATGTCGACCACCAGGTCGTTAAAGTAATAAAAAAAACATCAATTTGCGCAGTACAAGTGTTATGCAGATTTAGGGTATAACGGTATTAGCATTAGGTTTGGACTTTTATATCTCTCTTTTTTTTAAACTTTCTGAGATGTAAATCTAGATTTTTCTTATATCATTATTTTGATACATACAATTTTTGTGTTGTTTATGAGCTCTCTCTCTCAAAGCACGACCTCTGTGTGTGTGTGTGTGTGTGTGCGTATTTGTGTAAGAGTGACAGACAGAGAAGGAGACAAGAGAGAATGTCAGCCTATTGTAGTGCACTGCTTAGTCCGAAACATCAGATTTCGACCAATTACTTATTAGTCGCCTTTTATGACATGCTTGGTAGGGGGCAATAAATCTAATCCCCTCCCCCCGCGATGCTGCATCAAAAATCCACATAGAAAACACTTTTGACACAAAACAAATATTAACTAAATGGTTTTCTCTAACTACAAAATACAAACCAAGCAACACAGAAACTTTTCTTAGGTTATAATAAAGATGACAATACAGATTAAATGTGTAACACTATTTTGTAAAATAATTACAGCATACAACATGAAATGCTCAGCAAAAGAAAATTAAATTACTAGAGACAGTCAAGGTAAAATGTACACAGTGTGTGAAACTACACATATTTTCTTTTACTCTTACCAGTATAGACAAACTGTATTAATACTTTCATTAAAAAATTATACTAACAGCATAGACTATCTGCTACTTTTTGTCTATATTGCAATCTGTAAAACATGCATCTGACAATAGGTGTACTAACAATGTTAGCAATCTAAAATTTTTAATTTGAGTCATTTCATATGCCCATTTAACAGGATATCGGTTTTATAATAAAAACTACAAGAATGTTTCTATTCACTGCTCTATTCACTGCTGAAGGGTAGCAGGTTGCAATATTACCTTCTTTTTTTTTAGTATGAGAAGAATGTTTCATAGGAAATCCCAATAAAGAAATTTCTTTTTTTTTCTTCTTAAGCATTCCAAACTGCTGAGGTTCATTGCTGCAGATATCACCTGCCTCCTCTCCTCTCTCTGGTTGGCCTTTTCTATCCAGTTGGTGAAATCAAGTGTTTGCAGGTTTCTCTGCCATTATCTTCTTGTCTGCCTCGTGATCTACAACCATTCAGCTCCCTTGTGTCTACAGTTTCTACCTCTCTGTCATCTGACATTCTCTCAATATACCCCAGCCATTTCAGTCTATTAGCCCTTATGATGCCAGTGATCAATGGTGATTTGAACAGACTATGGATTTCTTTGTTGCTTCTCACTCTCCATTATCTGCTGTTTGCACCTTTGATGGGTCCAAAGATTCATTGTGAGGCTGTTTCTGAAATATTTTAATAAGGCTTTATCTCTTTTAGTTGGCTCCAAGTTTCAGAGCCATATAAAACAAATGGTCTTATCGACATTTTATATATTTAAATCTTGGTGTTGTGAAATAGTGACTCTGACTTTAGCAGATGTTAAAGGATAAAGTATACTTTATTTCCAGATAGTATTCTATACTCATCTCTCAGCATGTTAGAGCAGTTAAAGTTTGCACCCAAATATTTATATGTTTCCATTCATTTGAGTTTCATATTATCAACTTGTACAGGGCCAGAGTTTTTATCCTTTTCTTGTATTGTTATTATCATGTATTCTGTCTTATCTTGACTGATAACTAGTACCATTTTGTGAGCTGCTTCTTTTAAGAATCAGTGTTTTACCCCCTGTAGTTCCTTTTCTCCAACGATATCAATGTAATGAAGAAATATTTGTTATTAAAATTCATAAATGCATTATTTTTAAAACAATAATATAACAGTAGCAGTGACCACTGGATAAGCCAGATTTCTTGAGTGTATTCTGACAAAATAAAAAAAGTAAGGGAAAATATTAAGCTAGGAAGGGCATGAGCAAACAGTGATTCAATATGCTTGTTTGTGACTCAAAGAGTTAGCATTGCCATTCAGTTTTATTGTTTTCCTAAGATGGTGAAACGTAGTGAAAATTTACTTTTGAAACTTGATAGAAAAAAACATGTCTCCATCTCCTGGTTAACTCTTTCACAACTCACAATAAGTTCTGGTTATTACAAAGATAATATCATGTTCCTGCTGTCTTCAGTCACAGGCAGACGTTATATTAACCCTTTGTATCTGAACTATAAGCTAAACTCTACTGTCCCACAAAGTCTCTGCTGAACTCTTGCAGATTTATGCATTGTTATTTCAATTTCAACTGTGTGGGGTAAATGGGAGAGTTGAAGTAACTGCTTATTACTGAAATGAAAGAGTTAAGGATGGGTTGGATGAGTTTTATCATCATATGTGCCTTGTGTTTTCTTTTTGTGTGTCATGTTTGTGCTAGTTATTTATATTTTTTTTTCAGTACTGAAAATACAGGTAAATGTTTTACTTGAAAAGAAAACAAATAACTATTTGTTACAACCAATACAGTCTATGCAAGATTAAATAACCAAAAGTAATTGATAAGCATAAATAAAATATTAAATAATGAAATAATAGGGAGGAAGAAAAAACTATATATTTCAATTATAATCCTGAGGAACTGAAAAGTATATCATTGTATATATACTAATACTTAATTAATAGTAGTATACTATTCACTCCTGGCTTGGAGGTTACTATTATAGTATTACTATATGTTCAAACTTCTAATAATCTATGTTAATGCACTGGTACCTTTATCTATATAAAAGTTCTATAATGAGAAAAATTGAATACTGGAAATAGAAGGGGAGAAACTTACCCATTTCCCATGAGATTCCAGCCATTCACGCAAGTTAGTATCTACGTATGCAGTCACCCATTCAACAACATTGTCCACCATATTCGGCATGTTGCGTTGAAAACAGTGAACAGCAAAGCGACCAGAGAAGCCAAACAGAGCCACTATACGGCCCCAGTTGACTCCATCACAAAAAGTTTCTGCAACAATCGCCGAAAACGTTTCACTAGCATTATCCGGCGTCACATGAAGCTGCTGGACCAGCTCGTCAAACCGACTTCTAAACCGTTCTTCGAATTCATCTCCCAGGCTTCTCATAGCCGTCTGCACAGGGCTGGCAGTTACGTTGGCCTGCCTGCCATCATTATCCCATGTGTAACCGCAGCTATCCAGGCGGTACTTTATGTAATCCACAACAATGCTACGGGTACTTTCCATGTTGCAAGAAAACTCATTCACAGCTTTAACATCGGTTTTCTTCACCATCGCAAATTGCGACCACAATCAGAACCACTAAGCATTTGGTAACAGAGTGTGTGTGTTGTTGCCTGCACGGTGTCAATGAATCAACTGCCGACTTAGTGAATCTGGCTGGCTGGCCGTCTAGCCGAGCTCTCTAGTTCCCACACACAGGCAAGCCGGATGCATCACCAACTGGGTTATGTTAAGCCGCCTTCACACACACGACCGCTCTGATGTGCGGCCAAGCACGATTGACGCAGTTTCAACACACAGGAAAGATCTGGGTGCAACCTGACGATAGTTGATAGAACCAGGAAAGGCGGATGGGTTTATTATAGATATTCACCTTTCTTACTTGTTTGGAATGTGTAGTATTTGTGCGTGTAATATTTTAAATGTGTAGAAAGTTGTAGCAAACATTTAAAATTGAAATCTGCAGATTCTTCCTTTTCTTTCCCTTCTCCTCCATCTATTTCCCAGACACATCAGCGAAGTCTTTCGAGGAGATGACAGGATCATCTAAGTACTCTTTCAAAAGAGGTTGTGTAAGCTGGTATTCAGTTATTTCAAGTTATTTTGTTTACCGTCATAACATGTTTTGCGTAATTCATCATCACCATAAACCACTTCTGCTGTTAAGCGATGTGGGAAGGAATGATCTGCGATCCAGTGCACGCTGACTGCTACTGACCATTGTATTGCCTTGAAGGCGTAGAGTGTCTTTAAAGTTGTCGATCCATGTTTTCTAGAATCTAGAACAATGTGTCGTTCCCACAATTTGCCTGATAGTTTCACTATTCACTCAATCTCAGATTGTTATGTTGGCTGCTTTTCTCAGGCACCTCAGGTGGTGATTTTGCGTATATTGGCTTTAGATAGATTTTAAAACAATAAATGGTGGCCGAAAGGTCGTTGTGTTTGGAAGCTCGCTCTCCTTCGAGATACGCCTAGCCAGATCAAAGGGAGACAGAACAAACAGGAAACACCACGAATGAAGAAGGAAGACTTGCACCAGTGACAACAGGACGAGCGGTTTGATACGGAGGGAAGCATTAAGCCAGAAATGGCACAAACACCAGTATTCAGTCACGAAAGTGACGCAAATAACCCAGACCACAAATATAGGCGGAGACTGTTAGCAGCCTAGGCTAGCTAGCAGCAGTCTGAACGTGGTCGAGCTTTTCTTTTTTTTTTCTTAGAAGGACTTGGACTTGGACTTTAGATAGTGTCCATGTTTGGAACTGGTAGCCTAATGTTGGAATTTGCGTAATTAATTTTTAATAATGTAATGTCAAGTCGACACAGCTGATGGTGTGTTGTCCAAGAGGGTTCTATGGTTGGGAATATCTTTAGGCAAACTGAACCCGAAACACAGAAGACAGAGATCTGTGGAGATACGCGAATGCCTACACCAGCTGGCAAGACACTTGATAATGATGATTATGAAATTTATCTTGGAATGCATCGATCGACGTCTTAGAGAGATATTGACACCCACAGCATTTGTGCAAGACAAATGATGATTATGTAAACTAATATTACCTACTGCCATTACATCAACATTATATTACAACTATGTAATGTACCGAGAAGAAATGGACTCGAGAACTTGGTGACGACATTCAAAATTTATGGAAAGCAGCCAGGAAAAGGCAGAGATAAATACCTCAGTGGCTCAACCATATGAGTGGAGTGAGACAAGAGCACTGACGTGATCCGTAATGCTGATGGTCGTTTGAGGTTAAGAATCATGACCGTCTAACCATGTCGGCAGGGCACACGATGATGCTAATGAAGATAGTGATGCTGATAATAATATTTACAGTATATATATAACTTTTGTCTTCTGATATTGGTGTTTATAAAAGGTGAATAAAGTAAGCGACTCGTTTCATACCTTTAGTATTAAGTATTCGGTACTATTTCAATATTTTTTATAGAACTATTCGAATACGATGTGCAATGTGCTAAATATTATGCCGGCCACCTTATTTCCCATGACATTTCCTAGCACTGGTATTAGGCTATGTCGACCATGGTATGCGGTTTTGTAGGTCGACCTAGCTTAAAATAGGTATCATGATGTCTGTCCTGGGAAAGTAACGGCCGGTGTAATGCTGACCACATGACCCACCCAAAGCCGATTGGTCTGTAAAAATAAGGGTGCTCTGTCCATAAGCCCGATGCGCCTAAAGACGTAAAATTGGATCTTTATTTAATAAAATGACCTTGGCTTCTAGGTCAACCCAACCTTGAGTGGGTACCAGGTATAGTCCTGGGAAGTAAGGCGGTCGACGTGACGCCGACTACATCATCCACTGAGTGCCAGTTAGTCTATAAATTATAATTCTAGCAAAAAGCATGAAAAATGATTCTTTACTTTTCTTCTTCTTCTTCTTCTGCTTTTCTATCCCCCAATGGAGCATAGGCCCTCAATCAACTCACGCCAAGTCGTTCTATCCTTCGCCATTGAGTGGTGCTCTTCCCATCTTTCTAACTTCATTCTCCAATCTCTTCTCCATGTTTTTTTTTTTTTTTTTGCCTTTCTTTTTTCTGATTCAGGGTACAGTAGATGACTGCTTGTGACCACTGGTATGCAGGAACTTTTGTTTTTCTTTCTTGGGTAAAACTTGTTCATACACAGCATCTTATTAACAGCCAAAATATTTTGGCCATGTTAAACGTTGTAGTGACATGGGCAGATCGGGGAAGGAGTGTACCACTTCCGGAAAGATATGGAGAGATCGGGGATGGAGTGTACCGCTTCCGGAAAGACATGGAGATATCGGGGATGAAGTGTACTTCATGAAAACGTGCTGAGTCAGACCGCGAATATGGATACAAGACAATGAAGAAGATGTATTGGCTATGAAGACAGAAAAGACATCATCAATGCCATAGAAGGGATTAAACGCTTTGAGGCTATCGGTTTCGTGAAAAACGATTTTTCACTCATAGACTGCATACTATAGGGATACGAATTGGAGCCGCGAGACCTGAAAACCACGTTGAAGCCACCCGTCGTTGCATCAGCCAGAACAGAATGGGAGTTGTTACCCTTTAAAACTTAGAGATTTACTCAGGAGGAGATCGGAGCACTTATGGTCATTTCCGATGTGCGATGAAGATAATCTCTAACATGAACCATGGCTATGAAGAGAACTGGTTAAAGAAAAAGAGACTTCTATCCGTACTGTGACGAGAGAGATATTTTGTAATAGAGCTGCGATTGATGATAACGATGTAATTGCTTTCATGTTTTGTTTTCTTCAAGTTTTTAATATGGAAAAAAAATTATTACAACGCAGCAATATTCGACTTTGTATTGCCAGTATATATATTCCTCATTGCCAGGTCATCGACTGCATGTTTGAATTCGAGATATCTTATTTAGTTTAGTGTACAAACTATTCACGAATTCCGTTTCTAATTATTGTGCGTTGAACTAAAACGATTGGAGGGAGGCACAATGCGCTGTAGCTTTACGTAAACAGGCATGAAACTGACCTGAAAACAACAAATAATAGAACTATTTACTGCGTAGTATCCAGCTCTAACAAAACATTGAAATGTCCCCTACAGCATTTTTATAACGAGCATCTTTTAGTCTGTGCAGTGCAGTGTTGGAGTCACTTCTTCTTCTTCTTCTTCTTTCTGTGATCACCGTTAAAATGTGGATAGACGAGTTGTGTTGTGGTTTACAGCTTGGCTGTGATATGTGCCCCATTTGGCTCAACACACCGATTTGAGCAACTCAACATTTCCGGGTTCTCATTTTATGGCGGATAAACTTGAGAACCCACATTGAAAGTGGTTTTGTGGAAACACACTTTAAATGTTTATACGAATATCTCATTAACCCCCCCCCCCCCCCCCCTTTTTTTTTTCTTCCCCACACACACCCCAAAAACGCATTGAAGTAATAGCAGAAGCAAATCTTATCGCTGATAAAAAATTTTTAAAAAGTTATCTGGAAATGGTACTGGAAGTTCAAGAATCTAACTGAAATGGATAAGTAATTTAGATAAAATTTCAAACAGATCTGTCGGGCGCCTGTTGACATTGCAAGCCTAAGAAAATTTTGATGCAGAAAATAGAGTTCAAGACGTCTATGAAGAAATACTTGTAGACATGTTTTTAATTTGTACATTTGTTTTTCCGTAAGAAAGAGATTTGTTGAGAAAAAAAAAAAGGTTACTGACACCCATAACGAGAAGTAGAACTAGTCAGTTTATCATTAGCACAGTCAAGAACAGCATGGAATTATAACCTTCCGTCCTTTTCAAGAGGAAATTTTTGTTTATTTGAAGCCATACTCTGGCTCTTGCCAGGCCTAAAGGCTGAACGCGGTTTCTGGGACCTCTCCACGGCGATCCTCGCCCACATGGTGGCACATTGTGTCATCAGGTGTTTATCGCTTGTGTGATGTCCTAGTGGGGTAGAAAGTCAGTCAGACAGTCAAGAACGATAAGTGAACTTTGTGGCTTGAAAACATTTAGCGGCACCTGGCATGGATAGACAGTGTTAGAGATACACACATTGACACAATATTGTGTGAGGTATGCAGTTAATGGACCCATAATTACAGTACCATTTGTTTTTAAAGATCGTTTCACGTATACGTGGGAGGTGCCGTGGTGTAGCGGCTAGACGTTGGTCTACGGATTCGTAAGTCGTGGGTTCAGGTCTTGACAGAGCCGGACCTTTTCAAAAATAACCTTGATTCCCAGGTCGACCTAGCTTTGAACTGGTACTAATCTAAGTCCAGGGAAGTAAAGATGGCTGTCGTGATGATGACTGCATTTCCCACCCAGTGCCGACTGGTCTATAAAATATAAGTATAGACAATATGCCCTATAAGCATGGAGGCGTGGAAACGGGTGGTTTACTTCAGGTATACACGTAAGCGCTTGTTCAAAGGGGAACCAACCATGACGTGATCATCTGATATAGTCAAGTTTGGCTACGCCTGTAAATTCACTCAAGCATGTCCAGGTATGCTATAAAAACCCATTGACAAAACA